GCCCTTAATTCAGGCAGTCACTTGGATGGATAATTCTATTAAAGTATATGTTAACAATAGTGCATGGGTACCAGGCCCTACAGATGACCATGGCCCTGCCCGACCTAAAGAAGAAGAAATGATGATAAACATTTCCACTGGGTATCATTATTCTCCTATTTGCCTGGGGAAGGCACCAGGATGCTTAATGCCTACAACCCAAAATTGGTTGGTAGAAGCACCTACTGTCAGTGCCATCAGTAAATTTACTTATCACATGGTAAGTGGAATGTCACTCGGGCCACAGATAAATAATTTACAGGACTCTTCTTATCAAAAATCATTAAAATTTAGGCCTAAGGGAAAACCTTGCCCCAAGGAAATTCCCAAAGAATCAAAAGACCCAGAAGTCTTAGTTTGGGGAGAATGTGTGGCTGACACTGCGGTGGTATTACAAAACAATGAATTTGGAACTATTATAGACTGGGCCCCTCGAGGCCAATTATATTACAATTGTACAGGCCAGACTCACTCATATTCACAGGCCCATCTGTCTGGCCCACTAATCCTGCCTATGATAGTGATTTAACTAAAAGACTGGACCAGGTTTATAGAAGGTTAAAATCACCCTATCCATGGAAATGGGGTGGAAAGGAAATTTCATCATCTCGACCAAAGTTAGTTAGTCCTGTTACTGGTCCTGAACATCCAGAATTATGGAAGTTTACTGTGGCCTTTAGTCTGGAAATCAAGTTATGGAAACAAAAAATTGTAAGCCATATTATACTATTAACCTAAATTCCAATCTGACAATTCCTTTACAAAGTAGTGTAAAACCCCCTTATATGCTAGTTGCAGAAAACATAGTTATTAAACCAGATTCCCAAACTATAACCTGTACAAATTGTAGATTGTTTACTTGCATTGATTCAACTTTTTATTGATAGCACCGTATTCTGCTAGTGAGGGTAAGAGAGGGCGTGTGGCTCCCTGTGTCCATCGACTGATCGTGGGAAGCTTCCCCATTCGTCCATATTTTAACAGAAGTATTAAAAGGAGTTCTAACTAGATCCAAAAGACTCATTTTTACTTTCATTGCAGTGATTATGGGTCTTATTGCAGCTACTTCTGCGGCTGCTGGAATACTTTACATTCCTCTGTTCAAATTGCAGAATACGTAAATAATTGGCAAAAGAATTTCTCAAAATTGTGGAATTCTCAGACCCAAATAGATCAAAAATTGGCAAACCAAATTAATGATCTTAGACAAACTGTCATTTGGATGGGAGATAGGCTCATGAGCTTGGAATATCTTTTTCAGTTATAGTGTGACTGGAATACATCAGATTTTTGTATTGCACCTCGAGCCTATAATGAATCTAAACATCACTGGGAAATGGTTAGACGCCATCTACAAGGAAGAGAAGATAATCTTACTTTAGATATTTCAAAATTAAAAAAACAAATTTTTAAGGCATCAAAAGTCCAGTTAAATCTGGTGCCAGAAACTGAGGCAATGGTGAAAGCTGCTGATGGCCTCACAAATCTTAACCCCGCCACTTGGGTTAAAACCACTGGAAGTTCCACTATTGCAAATTTTGTATCAATCCTTGTATGTGTGTTCTCTCTGTTGTTAGTCTACAGGTGTATCCAGCAGCTCCAGAGAGACAACGACCAGCGAGAACCAGCCATGATGATGATGGCAGTTTTGTCAAAAAGAAAAGGGGGATATGTAGGGAAAAGAAAGAGAGATCAGACTGTTACTGTGTCTATGTAGAAAGGGAAGATATAAGAAATTTCATTTTGACAAGTACCCTGAACAATTGCTTTGCCCTGAGATGCTGTTAATCTGTAACTTTGCCCCAGCCACTTTGCCCCAACCTCTTTGCCCCGACCTTGAGCTCACAAAATCATGTGTTGTATGGAATCAAGGTTTAAGGGATCTAGGGCTGTGCAGGATGTGCTTTGTTAATAAAATGTTTACAAGCGGTATGCTTGGTAAAAGTCATCGCCATTCTCTAGTCTGGATAAACCGGAGGCACAATGCACTGTGGACAGCCGCAGGGACCTCTGCCCTGGAAAGCCGGGTATTGTCCAAGGTTTCTCCCCATGTGAGAGTCTGAAATATGGCCTCGTGGGATGAGAAAGACCTGACCGTCCCCCAGTCTGACACCTGTGAAGGGTCTGTGCTGAGGAGGATTAGTAAAAGAGGAAAGCCTCTTGCAGTTGAGGTAGAGGAAGGCCACTGTCTCCTGCCTGCCCCTGGAAACTAAATGTCTCGGTATAAAACCCGATGGTACATTTGCTCAATTCTGAGATGGGAGAAAAACCGCCCTGTGGCGGGAGGCGAGACATGTTGGCAGCAATGCTGCTCTGTTATCCTTTGCTCCACTGAGATGCTTGGGCGGAGAGAAACACAAATCTGGCCGACGTGCACATCCAGGCATAGCACCTCCCCTTGAACTTAATTATGACACAGATTCTTTTGCTCACAGGTTTTCTTGCTGACCTTCTCCCTGTTATCACCCTGCTCTCCTACCGCATTCCTCTTGCTGAGATAATGAAAATAATAATCAATAAAACCTGAGGGAACTCAGAGACCGGTGCCGGTGCAGGTCCTTGGTATGCTGAGTGCCGGTCTCCTGGGCCCGCTGTTGTTTCTCTATACTTTGTCTTTGTGTGTTATTTCTTTTCTCAGTCTCTCGTCCCACCTGACGAGATATACCCACAGGTGTGGAGCGGCAGGCCGCCCCTTCAATTTTATCTTTATCAAAGTGGGGCATCTCCTAAGGCGTGTTTGTGAGAAACAAGACAGAAAAAACTCGTGGAGAGAAAAAACCTGCTCTTTTGAGTTTGGTGGTCCTTTGGGGCATGCTTTGTTGGGAGAACAGCAGAAAATATGCAGAGAACTCCAGGGAGTTCTTGGTGGTGATTTGTCACCTTCACCAGGCAAAGGGATGGCTGAGCTGGCCTGGCCGCTAGGGAACTCCCAGACCCTCGAGGAGAGCTATGTCTTCTTCTTATGACTGCAAGTAAGGGATTTACATGGGTTGGGAGAACCACTATTTTTTCCCCCAGCATAGAGATTACTTTTGTTATTTTTTAAAAAATTGATCTATATCTTGTTAGTATAACCCCAGCACTCTGGGAAGCCGAGGTGGGAGGATTGCTTAAGTCCAGGAATTGGAGACCAGCCTGGACAACATGGCGAAACCTGGTCTCTACTAAAAATACAAAAATTAGCCAGGTGTGGTGGCTTACACCTGTAATCCCAGCTGTGCAGGAGGCTGAGCCACGAGAATCTCAGAGCCCGGGAGTTTGACACTGCAGTGAGACAAGATTGTACCACTGCACTCCAGCCTGGGTAAGAGTGAGATACTGTCAAAAAAAAAAAAAAAAAGGAAGAAAGAAAGAAAAGAAAAACAGCCAAAAAACCTGTAAGTCAGAATTTCTACAGGTTGGCTCTGTACCAGAATTGCCTCAGACAGTTTTTCAAATTGTGGGTTTCAATCCTTCCCAGCTTGTCTGAACCAGGGCATTTAGGTTTGGACTCCATGCAGTATTGGTGTTTCTTCAATTTTTCTAGTTGATTGTGTCCAACCACAATTGTGAATGCGTTGCAGCATTCAGCTCTAATTTAGCTTTCTCTTGCTAAATATGTGTAAATATATGGATAATTCTGCAAAAGAACACTTTCCTCAGAATAAAACTTTAATCAGGCTGGGTGCAGTGGCTCACGCCTGTAATCCCAGCACTTCTGGAGGCCGAGGCGAGTGGATCAGGAGGTCAGAAGATCGAGACCAGCTTGGCTAACACGGTGAAACTCCCTCTCTACTAAAAATACAAAAAATTAGCCAGGCTTGATGGCACACACCTGTAGTTCCAGCTACTTGGGAAGCTGAGGCAGGAGAATTGCTTGAACCTGGGAGGTGGAGATTGCAGTGAGCTGAGATCACGCCACTGCACTCCAGCCTGGGCGACAGAGCTAGACTCTGTCTCGAAAAAAAAAAAAAAGACTTTAATCAATGGTGAAAACAAATGAGAAAATGTCTTGTGAGAAAAGTGCTTCATGAGGAATGCCTAAGCTAATCTCACATGAAACACGTCTCGATACTTCCACATACAAATGCAGGTAATAATGTTCACCCACCTCAGAGGAGAGTGTTGGCGTTGAGGCTTTATGATGTACTGCTTGTAAGATGCATTTAGACCCAAAGGTGGAAGCTGTACTGTAAAGCTTGCACTCATATTTCAAATGCTGAAATTCACCTTGTTACAATTCTCTTCCCTCTTCCCTTCCTTTTAAGCCTAACTGTAGCTCTTAGTTAACTTTTCTAAAAAAAATTATCTTGATGGAAAGCATATTCAATTTTACATAACTCCCTTCATTCCATGTGTATGAGTGTCAGTTGAAAGGCTGAGATAAATTATTCCTTTCTTAAATAACTATGTAACAGCTGTCACGGTAGGTTATGTTTAATATAAAAATAATTGGTAGACTAGAACAGTGTCCAGCCTCGGCACTTTAATAGATACTTAATTATAATAATGACAAGAGCAACTAAGGACTATGACAGGATCCTGGAATTGTAGAACCGGTGTCTGCAAATGTAGGAGCTGGGGAATCAACTTGTTGCAAGTGAGTAAAATATGTTAAGTTTCCTGTAATTGTAGTTGAGCAGACTTAAAATTTTAGGTAAGCAATGGGGTTGAGAGTGAAGAGTTGAGTAGTTGTTTTATCTAGTTTTGTTTTTTTTTTTTTTAGCATGTTTCTAGATTTTTATCTAAATGGGCTCATACAATACATACTGTTCTGTGTGGCTTCTCATGACATCCATGAATATCGTTGCCTATAGCAATAGTTGATTCCTAGTTATTGTCGAGTTGACTTCCATTGGATTCTGGCTGTCCCGGAGTGGATTTTCCACTCACCTGTGAGTGGATGGACACTTTGGGTGTCAAATCATATTTTCTGTAGTGAATTTTATAGCCATCGGTGGCATTCCTGTTTAAGACTAGTGATGCTAATTTCAGAAAGAGAAGAGAACAAAGTAGACGTATCCAAGACCACAGAGGTAGATTGTTTTGTGGTAGAATTAGGAAGTCTACACAAGTAAGTGTGAAGACCCAAAGGCTTGTATTTTATTTTTAACTCTCTAAGAGGGTATTTGTTATAATATCTGAAGGGGACTGTGCATCTCACAGCATTGCAATGAATAAATGAATATCGTGTTTTCTTCACTTTTTAAAAAATCCAAAGTTTACTTACACTGTATAATACAAAACTTTTGCCACTTTATAGAGCAGACTTTCTTACGTTACATTTACTTTCATACTGGGTATGTTTCATTTTACTTTGTTTTTTATTGGTAGTGTCTTTCTGAGTAAAAAACAAATAATGAGTTGTTAAGAAGTATCTTATTCAGTGTAAGAACCTAATGGTTAGAAAAGAAAAAGAAAGGTTTATAGTTACTTATTTATAATTTTTCTATACTGCTGAGTAGTTTTCTTTCTACTTTATAGTAATAACATTCCAAGAATTATTTAATATCAGACCATTTGGGGGAAGTTTGGGAATGTGTGTAAATTTCTTTAGAAATCTTTAAAAATTACTTCTATGTGTAGGTGAGAAATCACATAAGAAAGCAGTGATCTAGTAATAAGTTTCTTCCAGCAGTGAATGAGTAAAATAAAACACATAAGGCACTGCTAAGTTTTAATTATTAAACTATTTCAATTTAAAAAATAAAATACTATCAGCTAAGGATAGCATAGCTTATATTCCAAATCAATAACTCTTTGAATGAAAAAGCCAGAATTTTGACTCATTAATATACAATGCAGCATTTGGTGTCATCCAAGAAGACACTTTTTATAACTTTCCCCTATTCTAGTTGCAAGTACTATTTGGTGTCTTTATTCTTTTCTTTGAGAGAGGGTCTCACTCTGTCGTCTAGACTGGAGTGCACCAGTGTGACTGTAGCTTTCTGTAGCCTCGAACTCTGGGGCGCAAATGATCTTCTTGCCTCAGCCTCCCAAGCAGCTGAGACTACAGGTGCACACCACCAGGCCTGGCTATTTTTATTTTATTTTGTTCTATTTTTTAGTAGACACAAGGTCTCCCTATGTTGCTTAGGCTGATCTCAAGCTCCTGGGCTCAAACAATCCTCCTGCCTAGGCCTTCCAAAGTGCTGAGAATACAGGTGTGAGCCACCATGCTGGCCCTCTTATTCTAGTTTTATCATGACTAGTTCTAGTTTATAAATTCCCACTATTTTAACTTTGTTTCACTGTGAGGAGGAGGTCATTCTGCCCCCTTGGCCATGTCTGGGGACATTTTTGTTGTCACATTGGTGGGGCATGGGTGGTCCTGGAACCTGGTGAATGAAGCCCAGGGACCCTGCTCAACACCCTTCAGTGCCCAGGACGGCCTGCGTCCTCCAGAAAAAAAAGTAAGCTCTTTTCTTCCATTCCCTATACCCCTGAAAAACACGCAGTCCTACACGGAACCCACAGTGAATTTTCACCAAGCATGTGGCCACCAAGTCATCCAGCTCCAAATGTCAGCTGGACCAAGATGGAAAAAGCCTGGTCCAGTGCATTTTACCCAGCTCTTCAAAGCCCCTCTCACCCCTGTGTGTCCCCCGTCCGTGTGGAGCTTTACTTCTGTAGAAGTAAAAATAAGAGCTTATTTTTTTTATCTGGAGAACACAGACACTTTAAAGAGTAGCTTCAGTGCCTATAATATTTTTGTTAATGAATGTTAATAGAGTATTTTAATGAATGCAGAGGCTGCTTTGGATTTTATTAGTTGACCTTAAACAGCACTTTGCTCATGTAGCCCGATTTACCTACATAGACTCGGGACTAGTGATGTTAACACCATCCTTCGTCATTGGGAACGGAAAGGTTCAGAGGGTGGTGTCTGGGTAGCATTGCGATTTCCTGAGATGAATGCTCTCATAAAAGTAATTATTGTTTTGGTTTCACCTGCGGTTGGGAAATGCCTTGTAGAATTATACAGTTCTACCATCAAAGTGACCTAGGAAACCAAAATGACTGAGGGCATCTCTCTTGTTATTTTAATTTTAAAAATTTTAAATCTTAGGCTGAATGTGGTGGCTCATGCCTGTAATCCCAGCACTCTGGGAGGCAGAGGTGGGTGGATCATCTGAGATCAGCAGTTCTAGACCATCCTGGCCAACATGGTGCAAACGTGTCTCTACTAAAAATACAAAAATTAGCCAGGTGTGGTGGCGTATGCCTGTAGTCCCAGCTACTCAGGAGACTGAGGCAGGAGAACCGCTTGAACCTGGGAGGTGGAGGTTGCAGTGAGCTGAGATTGCGCCACTGCACTCCAGCCTGAGTGAAAGAGTGAGGTGCCATCTCAAAAAAAAAATTAAAATTACATCTTAATTGATAAATCATATTTATACATATTTTTGGGGTACATGTGATATTTTTATACCTGTGTACAATGTGTAATAATCCAACCAGAGAAATCAGGATATTTATCACCTCATTTATCTTTTCTTTGTATTGGAAACATTACAATTCTTTCTTCTAGCTATTTTGAAATACGCAGTAAATTATCTAATCTCCCTATTTTATTTTTTGTTTTTATTTTATTTAGTAATTTATTATTATTATTTTTTCATAATAGAGATGGGGTTTCACCATGTTGCCCAGGCTGGTCTCGAACTGCTGAGCTCAAGCTATCCTCCCACCTTGGCCTCCCAAAGGACTGGGATTATAGGTGTTAGCCACCATGCCCGGCATATTTTTGTTTTAATAAAATACAGACAAGGTTTCACTATGTTGCCTAGGCTGGTCCTGAACTCCTGAGCTCAAGTGATCCTCCCACCTTGACCTCCCAAAGTGCTGGGATTATAGGTGTTAGCTACCATGCCTGGCCTATTTTTAGTTTAATAAAATAAATAGAGACAAGGTCTCACTAAGTTGCCCAGGCTGGTCCTGAACTCCTGAGTTCAAGAGACCCTCCCACCTCGGCCTCCCTAAGTGCTAAGATTACAAGCGTGAACCACCACACCTGGTCCCAGTGGCCCCAGTCTCCCTATTTTAAAGGAAACAGCATTCCAGATTCAGTACGAAGACTTGCAAAAGTCACATAGTGAATTAATGTGAAATAGGCATCATCTTTGTTTTTTTTTTTTAAGTTAAATTTTAAACAACTATTCTAGGTAAAGTTCATCTTGGCCAAAACCTGTCTTCACCACTGCGGCTCCTGACTTTACCTGGCGGTCACAATTCCTACGAGTCTTTTCCTTCCAGACATCTGCCCCACTTTTATAAACACTCACGAAAAGGGAAATCTTGATGTGTGCATGCGTTAAATAAAAGGTATCATAATGTATATTTCAGAAAACTTATTTAAATGAACAAAATCCTGTACTATGTATCTTGGGAATCTACTGCTCTTACTAGACGTAGAACTGTCTCACTCTTGATCTGATGCATGGAATGTCATAGTAAAAATATAGACCAATGTATTTAGCCAATCTACTTCAAAGAGTGGAGATTTCAGTTGGTTTCAATGTGACTCTACTTAAAGACAATGTTGGATTAAACATCCTTCCTGCATCCTGGCTCCCTGGACTGAGTGTGGGGCTAGAAGCACAAGTGCTTTGCTAAACTTTAGGCTCACTTTTAAATCTTGATATTTAGTGGCAACTGAGGAACACCAAGACTTTCAGCAGGACTATGAAGGTAACGTTCTGTGAATTCTTCTTATAACATATATTACCACACTTTAAAAGTTTTTGGTGTTTTGATAGTGAGACATTCTCATTATCCTTAAAATTTACTTTTCCTAGTTGATGGGAAAGTTAAAAATATTTTATGTGCCTATTGATAATTTGTAATTTTTGGAGTCTCTTTTCTAATTTATTTATAGAAAATATGGCCAGGTGGAGTGGCTCATGCCTGTAATCCTAGTGCTTCTGTTCTTGGTCCAAACCAAGGGTTTGGCTGCTATTTCTTGCTGCCCAATAACGAGATGCAGATGAACTAGGAGAGAAGGGAGTTTTTATTTCTGTAACCAGGTACAGGGAGAAGGCCTAGAAATTATTGCCAGACCAACTCAAAGTTACAAAGTTTTCTAGAGCTTGTATACCTTCTAAGCCACATGTCTGTGGGTAAGCGTGCATTCATCTAAAGACGTAAGTGATTGGCTTCTTCTCATCTATAACTAAAGTCTGAGTCCTGAGGACCTTCCTCTGGAGCCTCGGTGAATTTATTTCATCTCAATGGGTCCAGGTGCTGGGGTGATCACCCTTATCTTGTCTCTGGCTAAATCATGGAGGTTTGAGGAGTTCTTTGAGACCCTCTATAAACTTGTTTGTGAAGGTCTGGGGAGTTTCTTCAGACCCCCAATAAAACTTGTTTAATCCTAAACGGGTCCTGTTAAGAATGCCTTCGTTATCTTGTCCTGCTTCAAGGCCCAGGAGAGGCCTGGGCAAAACTGTTGGTGGGCTCTTGTGACATTCTGACCTTTGTATAAGGGCGCTGGCTCTCTCAGCTTTAAATATTTAACTTCACCACTCGGTCAGTGCTGAAACAGATGTCATGGAGGCCTGCGTTAGTGAGACCTGGCCTGCCACAGTTCAAGAAGGTCGAGGTGAGAGGATTACTTAAGGCCTTAAGGAGTTTAAGACCAGCCTGCAAAACATAGTGAGATCCTATCTCAACACATAGTAAAACATTGGCCAGGCATGGCGCACGCTTCTAGCCCCAGCTACTCAGGAGGCTAAGGCAGAAAAACTGCTTCAGCCTACAGCTCACTGTGTTCCAGCCTAGGTGACAGAGCAAGACCCTGTCTCAAAAAAAAAAAGGAAAATGTTACAGATATTTTTTCTTTCCCTGTAACTCCTTTTTGCTTTGTTGATGGTCTGTAAAACTGTTTTCAGTTATTTATATTAGTTTCTTGCGGCTGCTGTAACAAAATACTGCAAACTGGGTGACTTAAAATGACAGTTATTCTCTCCTGGTACTGGAGACCAGAAGTCTGAGATCCAGGTGTGGGCAGGGCTGGTTCCTCCTGAGGCCTCTCTCCTTGGCTTGGAGACGCTGTCTTCTACCTGTGTCCTCACATAG